TCAATCATTTTGGTAAAGTACAATAATTATTTATAGTTAAATAATTATCCACAAAATAAATAAAAATGATTTATAATAAAATTATAAAAAATAATTATATTTATTTTCATAATTATAATTTTATTATTTTTAGTTATTATTAAAAAAAGTAAGCATACATATTTTTATTAGTGTAAATACAAGAATGACTTAGAGTATCTATCTATCTATCTATATATATATATAATTAAATTGGGAAATTTAAAAATAATAAAAACAAAATTGAAAAGACAACAATAATTATGTGACATAAACTATTAAAATATAGTTTTTTAAACAAAAAGAAATGGAGCGAGGGAAGAAGAAGAAGAACTGGGTTTGTATTTGCAATTCTTTGTGTGAAGTGTGAAGCTTAAACCCCAAACCAAAACCCTAACGAGGTTGGTTCCCAATTTCCATGGCTTCTGCGCCCAAATCAAAGTTCAGTGTCTATCAAAACCCTTCCTTTTCCGCGGTTCTCACTTCCAACAGTCTTCAACCTTCCAATTTCACCATCCTCTCCATCCTCTCCTTCTTCACCGCTTCCGCATTCGCCTTTCTCGCTATCATCTTCAGGTGCACACTCACACTTTCTTCTTCACGCGATTAACAACTCACTCTTTATAACACTACTCACACATTGCAGGGAAAATGGCTTTATCGACATTTTGAGCTTCAGAACTTTTTCCCCTTTCACAGCTTGTAAGTTCCTAACTTTAATTTTTGTTCATTGCATTTTTTTAATTAGGGTAATTTGTAATATTTGATCCATTTATTGAACTTCAGATTGGCTTGCCAAGACTCTACAAGCTTTAGTGGGTTTTATCTTGATTGGAACTGTTTCTGCACTCCTCAAAGTTGTGTTTCTACGTAGGGCTAGGTATGCTGGAGGTGTAGTTGCAGTTAAGCCTGTGTCTGATTCTAGCAATGTTAATAAAACTGACATTTTGCTTACCAAACATCAACAAGGGCTTTTAGGAGTGAGGCCGAAGGTTGATTTGGCACAACCTGATTCGGCCAAGAAGCTTCCCAAGTCTAAACCACAATTTCCTTCTTCAGATTTGCTTGTTCCTCTTCATCAGCCCATTCCCAGCCCCACTCGAGGTTCTTCATCTCGCATTGATGTGGATGGTTCAAATTCTAACAGGGGTGCTGCTGTTCGTTCCATTGGTACTCCCTCGAGGTCTCCAGGATCAGCATCGTTGTATCTTGCACCGGGTTTGGTTTCCCCGCCAAGGGGTCCAAATGGAGTGGATTCTGTGGTTTCCAGTCCTTGGTCTAACAGGAGAGCCTCCTCTGCTAGTAAGATAACGTCAGAGGAAAAGCTGGAGAAGTTCCTAGCTGAAGTGGATGAAAGGATCAATGAATCGGCGGGGAAGATGTCTACGCCACCACCTACAGTTCCTGGTTTTGGGATAGTGAGCCCTAATACAGTTACAGGCTCATCTAATACCTCTGGAACTACAAGACTTATGCCATTGAGGCCTGTGAGGATGTCTCCTGGATCTCAAAAGTTTAATACTCCCCCCAAGAAAGGTGAGGGTGAGTTTCCTTCACCAATGTCTATGGAAGAATCTGTTCAAGCTTTTGAACATCTAGGCATCTATCCTCAAATTGAACAGTGGCATGATCAACTCAGGCAATGGTTTTCTTCAGTTCTGCTGAATCCTTTGCTTAACAAGATTGAGACTAGCCACATTCAGGTTCAACTTATTCTTCTTGTGTTCAAATCATGGTTAAACAATCAGAAAAATGTTGTTTGTGAAAATCAATATATGTGACAATAATTTTCAATGACAAAGTATGTTTGAGCTAAAATATTCATGGAGTGTTTATGGACCTCTCATTTGTGTGTTCCAATAAATGGTGTAGAACTGGTTTTGGAGAATTAATTCTTGGTCAATCTACTTTCCTGATTGTGTTTTACTCATGGTTTGATATGTTATTACCAAGAAAAAGGAGTATAAAGTATATTATTTGACTAATGTGGATTATGGTTATTAATATTTAGCACAAAAAGGTTGAACATTCCACAAGTTTTTTATTTTTCTGAAATTTAAGTTGTCATAGTGTTAGGAGCATGAAATAATGTTTGAATGAGCCATTGAAACTAAGCAAAAACAGTTTAAAACTCATTTTGGCAATTTGTATACAAACAAGCTCTTGTCAATTTATGCTAGAAGCCCCTGACATCTAACATGATTGGAAGATCAACCAAGTTAATTTATTCCCCCTGGGTCTAAGATTTTCGTATTCATAGGTTATGCAAGCTGCTGCTAAACTTGGTATTTCTATCACAATTAGTCCAGTGGGCAATGATATGCTGTCTACTTCTGCTACTTTGCCAACAATTGACAAGAGTCAAGACTGGCAATCTACGATGTCTCTCAATGAAGATGGGCTTCTTCATCAATTACATTCTACACTAGTGCTGGCCATAGATTCTTCCAAATGTATGTTGCTTCACATTTGTCAATTGAATGTGATTTTTGGTCCAAATTTCATTATATTTGCTGATAGCTTCTGAGCTCTTACAAATTTCTACTGGTTTATATTTGCAAACAGCCAAGTCGTTTGTATCTAATATACTGCAGTCCGCACAGCAGGCTTCTTTAGTTCCTATGATGCAAGAGTGTGTGGATGCTATCACCGAACACCAAAGGCTCCAAGCCTTGGTTAAAGGAGAGTGGGTTAAAGGTTTGCTTCCTCAAAGCAGTGTTCGTGCTGATTACACTGTGCAGAGGATCCGAGGTAGTCAGAATTATGGATATATTGCTTTTATTAGAGAGTAGCCTTCGTTAGATTTCCTGAATAAATTGAAGCAGAACATCATTTGTCTAAGATTGATTTTATGGCCGCATACACCAATATAACCTAACTTTAGTTACCTTGTCTTAATTTTCAGAGCTTGCGGAAGGAACCTGTTTGAAGAATTATGAGTATCTTGGAAGTGGGGAGGTTTATGATAAAAAGAATAAAAAGTGGACACTTGAACTACCTTCTGATTCTCACTTGCTGTTGTATCTGTTCTGTGCTTTCCTAGAACATCCAAAGTGGATGTTACATGTGGATGCTTTGTCTTATGCTGGAGCTCAGTCTAGCAAAAACCCATTATTCCTGGGTGTCCTTCCCCCTAAGGAAAGATTTCCAGAAAAATACATTGCTGTAGTGTCTACTGTCCCTTCTGTACTGCATCCTGGAGCATGTATTCTGGCAGTTGGAAAACAGGGTCCCCCAATTTTTGCGTTGTACTGGGATAAGAAACTGCAATTTTCTCTTCAGGTCGGTAATGCCTGCTGTTGAGCCTTATTTTATACTATTATTATTTTACCCGCAATACTGTTATTTTCAATACGTATTATACATTGTGAACTACTAAACATGATTTTCCGATGGATCTCTTATGAACCAGCACTGTTAATTTTTATATTGGTTTGCTAACAGCTCTGGTTTTTTATGTCAGGGAAGAACCGCACTTTGGGATTCCATTTTGCTTCTGTGCCATAAGATTAAAGTTGGTTATGGAGGTATTATCAGGGGCATGCATCTAGGCGCTTCAGCTTTAAGCATTCTCCCGGTTATGGAAGCAGAATCCGAAGATTAAGTCCTGTATTGACAAACCAGTCCCTTCTATCAACATTCAGCACGCTGATTTCAACTCCTGCAACAGATTGCATTTCTTGAAGTCAGATTTTGCAGGAAAGAACACAGTGGAGGTGAATTCCTGCTGATCGAGTGTTAACGCATTATGCTGCATTCTGTATTCTAGATGCCTTTACAATGACCAGCTGATTTCACTGTATCTGGCATATTGCACTGTCAAAAAGAAATTAACAGTCTCTTTGTATACCAGTCCTCCCCAAATGCAGTTCGCTCAATACTCAATGTTATTCCTTGGGGGAAAACATGTGATCTGGTTGATAAAACTAAAACAAAAGGCAAGCTCACAAGAACATGTTTTTTTTTTTTTTGTTATTGATCAATTAAATGTTTTTATCATCTAAACCTTGTTTATTTACACTAACACAAGTTGATTGTTTTTCCATTATTTCTTAAATATTTAGAAACGTAATGACTTTGTACAATTACATCATGTACTTGACAAGCAAAAGCTTTCCAATTCTGGTGTCACATCCAATTGTTTCTAATTTTCACGCACAACACTCAAATCATGCGTGAGACTTTTGATCTTGCTAATGTGACGTGATAAAGTGACTGGAGTTGTGTCTCACCGTTTTTTCATTAGCTTATTCTTATTTATCTGTTGCTGAATCATGTACCAAAAAGCCAGGTAATTTAAAATTAATTCAATATACCTGCTTTCAATAATTAAATAACAAGAAATAAATGAGCAATGTAATGGTAGTCACAACCACTCCAGTGTCTAACATGACATGCATCAGCCAGACCAGCTTAAAAAATAGTTTTCAATGATATGTTTCTTCTCCCTTTTTCAATAAAGCAAATGACAATCAAATTTAATTAAGTTCACATTAATTATATAAAATTTGTAAACATGTCATTAACGAAAAAATTTAGCTTATCCTTATTACTATACTTTTTTATAGAAATGTATTAGTAATTTATAATAGATTTATGTTACCAATTTAATCCATTATTATACAATAACACTAAAAATAAATATCTGATGAGTTTTCTACATTAATAAGTTTTTATCAGTACCACGAAGCATATTATCGACTTAGAAAATAACCGTAAAGCTTATACACGTGAGAGAAAAAAAAAACAGAAAAATGAGTAATAAAGCATTCCTTTCTGGCTATCAAAAGGTATGTAAAATACAAATATTCATTAAAGAATTTTCCTTTCATTAAGATCGGAAGCTTAATTTTCTTAGATTTAATTCAGAGCTCTCAAACATAAAAGAACAAGACAGTATACATTCACCATTAATTACTAAACCAACTTCTATATTTAACCAATATTCAATAGTAAACACACTTGACTATGTGTCTTTAAAATACAGTAGTGAAATCCGATTTTCATTTCAAAGGAAAGGCAATATTACAAAATTGATTGCGCCTTAAACCACTCTCGATTTATAAAAGGCAAATAAATAACAATACAATATCACTAACACTCCTAAGCCTCTAATTGTTACTATTAATTCAATTGAAGGTGAGCTAGGAACACATAATCTCAAGTGGGGAAGAACTGTAACTGCATAACTTAAAAAGTGGACGCTACGGAAGCAATGAAGATAAGATGCAACAATTGTTAGAACCTATGGGGCCATACATCACAATGCAATGGCTGATCATCTCCTTGGTTTTGATTGTTTCTTATATTGTTCATATAGCTGTAGCGATAATGCAGTCCTGTCCAGCTCTTTTCTCAACCTTTCATTTTCCTTGATGTCATGATGAACCATGAAATGGGAAACAAGTTTCCTCTGCAACTCATTGTCATCAAATGAACTCTTGACAGTTGTAGAACCAATGGAAAGTGATGCAGCAGGGCCATTTGTTCGTCTCTTGTTTTTTAACTTTATACTGCCAGTTTGTTGTGTGAAACATAATTCTTGGTCCAGAGACATTTCCTTAAAAGCTAGTTGAGGAGAGGACTTGGATAAAAGGACCTGGTTATGTGCAGTACTCATACTTGAAATTCCCGAGGCCAGTGTTGATATAGCTGTATGATAATGGCTGGACAAAAGATTGAGTTCCCAAAGTACCGAGGCAAGGGCACCACTTAAATTGGGATCTGTGGAATGTGGTAGATATTTCTGCATACCGAAGAGTGAGACAATCCATAAAAACAGAGACATAAAAGAGTGCTCCACACTAGAATGTTTTGCAATGAAATTCACAAGTTTTGCATTTTTTTCATACTTCGACTTAAAATTCATACCCAGTTACTTTCTCAAAGAATGTTTTATATAAAGGAAGCATGCTCCCATATTTCCCCTTTCCCATATAATTATATCATGCTCTTGTCATTTCATTATCATTAGTCTCAAAACAAAAATATCTAGTATTGTTACTCTATAAGCTAATCCACAATCCATAAAAATAAGTGCAGTGCACTTTACTGTCATAGAGCTGAAGGTAACTTAATAACTAGTAACATACTGAAAGGAAACACAGGAACGACCAAATGCATTTAACCTAGCAGATGCAAATGTAACCAGATATGTCTAACAAAAAAGATTGTCTATTTACGCAACATATATTCTGAATATCCTACGTAAAATTTATGCTTAACTTTGTATAAATTCAACTTCAAACATGCATTTAAAAGAGAAAATCACTAATGGACATTTACAAGGAATGGAGGACTTCCCTGTCTTGCAATACCCAGTTTAATTTCCTTATTTCTTTTACATTATTCTGCAAATGTGGATTTAGGATTAACTGTGATGTTTGTACCTACTTATTTGTTTAAATCATATTTCTAGACAATGTAAGATCTTAAACACATTCCTTATGTTGAGGGTTGGACTTGGACATCTTGAGCATAGCACTACATATTTGTGCTTGATCCAAAAACAAAACAATTGCGAGTGATGTGATAGACTCAACAAACTTAGTCATAAACTTTAATATCATCTTAGAATATGAGTTTAAGTTTATATCAACTCCAAAAACCAACTTATAAAATAAAATTTGCATTCAGTTAGAGACTCTATTTTAGCTATACCTCTAGATGATTCAGATCTACAATAACTATATCCTTGAAAAGATATCATAACATCAGCACTCTTATTGACCACCCTCTTGTCCATATTTAATTAAATTTCTCAAGCTATAAAAAAAAGAGGAGAAAAAACGAAGCAAAGATTCTGCACTTAATGCATGCAAATAACAATGACAGAAGCTTACAGGAATTGTGCCAGAAACAGAGCCTCCTCCAATATCATTTTCCAACAAATTTCTGCACTTGACATTCTTCTGAAGGAGATGCTTTACGGTGACCAAGGCTGAAATGGGTTCAAAGGATAACTAAATACGTAAGTAAGTTTCTCTTTTCCAAATATTTCCAGTTTCTTATACCAAATAGTAGTGCATATGAAATTGAAGGATAAGAAGGATGGAGCATACCAGCCATGGAATCTGCTGATCCAACACACAGTGAAAATGTTGCTAATCGTTTTATAAATGCAGCAGTCTTTTGCATGTCATGTTGCTTATCATCGCACAACATTATCTTCAAAGCTTCTGCCAAAACCTCTCCTTGATCTCTGTTTCATAAATATAAAGCAGGAACTGGAACAAGTTAAAAAAATAAAATTAAACTGGAAAAATTGCTAATGAGGTGCATTTCCTTGTACACATTAAAGTTGAAACAAGGAATAAATTTGAAAAGATTAAAACAAAATTCAACAGCACTTTATGTTTCCATTCCATGCTTTCATTGGATGCACATTTGTGTGTCCGCATCAAGCATATATGGAATAAGATCAGTTTTCCAACAAAAGTATATATCAAAAGAACTAACCGATTCTAAAAGCACAAGTTAGGTGAAAGCATGTTAGTAATTTTTATTTGCATTTCTCTAATATATTCATTCATGACAAGGCCGCTGGAGCTTTAGGTGCCAATATATGCAAGTAAACTCTACCTTGGGCTAAAACTATAATTTAATTAGAAAAATGAGGGCAGATAAGACTGAATTCCTAGCCATACGGAAATGAAAACTCTGATACCTACTTATTCTTAAAGCTTAAGGTAGCCAGGACCCAAAGGATGTATTGTTCTCCAGTTTGTTACTTTAGTTACTAAAATTACGTCTTAAAAAAGAAGACTTTAAATCTTATTCACTTTCACAAAATCAGATTTCTAACACACTCCCTTCGTACCAAAGAATTTGCACCGGTTTAGCAATAAATATTTAAGGATGGTTTTGATAGCAGAACTGATTGCAAGTGATAAGATAAGTTCAACAAATATCACCACAATAAACTCTCACTATCTCAAAAAGTGAATTTTAAACATAAATCTCACAAAATAGAATTTTTAAAGTGAGGTTGTATGCTATAATTTTGTCAAATCTTCATTCAATGTGTGATCTCCAAACATATACATACTAATGAATGTAAATTAGCATGAAAGACAACACACAAGAACAAATACACGAATATCATAGCAACAGAAATGACCTATCCTGCATGTCTGGCTGAATTTCAGCAATAGAAAAAAACACTGGTCATTGGGAAAAACGTTGAAAAAAGGAAAATGGTGACTTCAGGATATTGTATTTTAAAACAAACCTTCCTGGCCTGTATTCAAGAATAAGATTGTAAAGATGGATAAAGAAGTCCTGTAAATCAACATTCAGGGCATCAAGATTGTTCCTCATCACTTTAAAGGCAACAATGCAGCATTGGAGACGTTCCGATACAGTCAAACATTTGGAAAACTTGTCAGAAGTGTTGCCTGAATTGCTACTTCCAGAAGCAAGTACTTTCAGATGATTCATCAGATCACCCATGAAATCAAGGTCAATCAGATGTGAGAATTTTGCCAGTCCTTTCAGATAAGGAGCAAGCAAAGGGAGGGGTTCCACTGCAGCAGATAATGCCCCAGCGTTAGCTTCAGGCCTGAGCAAAAAAGTGAGGGAAAATTATCAAACCATCGTGACTGAAAGTGATTAATTATTATTCAAAACTTAATGATCAACACAAACAAAAATTATGCACGAAATATTGACACAACAAAATGTAAAAAAGAAAAATAAAGTAAAATACACGCAATATAAAACACACCTGGCACCGATGGACTGCATTGTATGCTTCAAAATACGAAAGTACGTCTCAAAGACAGCAGAGAGTGTTTCAGTTTGCATCTGTTTCCTCTCCATAACATCCAGGGTAAAGGATGCAGCCTTGTAATCAGCTTCAACCTCCTTTCTTGTCTTAGAAATCGATTCTTGCCTACTTTTCTTTCTATCATTCTCCATCAACTGATTTGATGCATCAGTGTGTTTCCTTTTCTTACTTTTTTTATCTTTTAATTTCTGATCCTCTTCTGTCTTTCCAGACTTCAAGAGATCCTCATTAAATGAAAGGGACAAGAAAACCTGAAGAGGTATTGCAAAGAAGAAACGTTACTTAACAGCTCTATCAAACATTCCACACAATAAAATAAAATAGGTTTCACTAAAGTAACAACAGGACACAACTTGTTTTGTGCCCTTTAAAAGATAAAACCTTTTTTTTATTAAAACATGTCTAAAATGATAGAAACTGATTTTACCACAAAAAAAAAGTGAAGTAGAAACTGTTTAAAGAAACAGGAAAACGATGAAGTATAGATTTCAAACAAAAGATACAATTATCGAGAGGGTGGGTCGTACATCAACAGAATCTGGGTGCAATTGGCAATTGTAAGCTTTAACATAATCGGCAATCAATCGAACTGCCTCAACAGTGACCTCACCCCCATGTTTACCCTCATTTGTAAAGAGTGATTTAATCGTGGAACAACAAACTTTCCTGTTGAAAAGAAACAAGAAACTTCAACTAGGTATATAGCAAGAACTAGAAAGTATCATGAAATAAAATAAATAAAAAAATCAGTATCCATATTAAGCACAAAATAACACAAGCCGCAAAGTACTGTCTTCCAAAAAGATTCAGGGGTCAATGTTAAAAACAAAAGCTAAGTAAATAATACATTATGTCTTTCCACTACTTGAGAAACTGAAATTAGAAGTATGACTGAGTTTCTGACTCAGCTTCCAGGGGAGAGCGAATGATGTCGCAACATAGAATCATGGAATGAAACAAGGTATTTAATTATGCTACTTGGCAACAAGTTCCTGTGGTAAAGTTCATAACTGACTACACGCCTCAAGCAGGTATTATTCTTCACAATAGTTGTTTAAGTCAACAAAAGATCCAATTATGTTAAGCTAAACCATCAAATGCAACCTCATAAATAATAACATTCTACAACTCTTTTTGACAAGGTATGGTTTTCAATACTTGGTAAAATATTCTGTATATACCCACTCTAAACCACCTCAATCACAAGAAATCAATTTGAACACACTAACAAAGGACTCAAAGGAACTTCCATTGAGAAAGAAAATGCGTTTTCTTTACATTCAGAAATTCCAATGACCAGTAAATCACAGACAATTTTAAATCCAACAAGAACCCCATTACCATAGACTTTTGGTCTAATCACCCAAATGGCAGCATACATAGTTTCCATTTCTGATGAATTAGAATAACATTTACAAAATTAATTTCATGTTTTCCGTGGGAAATTCCATAAAATTCAGAAGAAAGCTTAACATAATGAAGAATCATCAACAGCGAATATACAATAGAACCTTATAGCCTCATCAGTAGAGCCTATGTTTCTGACAGTAGCATCCAACAAACTTTCACGAAAGTTGAAATGGGGATTTGCATCAAGCAAAGAACAAATACAACGAACTGCTACATGTTGAAATAAAGGCTTCTTCTCTAAGGCTACCAGCCTTTGCAAATATGCCTGACAACGTTGACAAAAAAAAATACATCTTAGCAGAATATAGATCAACAAAGTTCATTTTTGTAACAACTTCAAACAATATATCTTAAAAAAATTGACCAATGAAGTAGGTCCAAGAAAAAGGAAACAACCACCATAGAAAGCTCAGGAACTAAAAGTCATATGTATGAACAGAATAACTATGATTCAGTTAAATAAAGGAATTTTAGTGTTAGATGTTAAGATGTGTGTTTCTGTTATTTGGGCTTAGTCTATTCTGTATTAAGGGCATTGGCCCATATCTTACAATATAAATAAACTACCCTATGTGTATGCTAAACACAAGGGATATTTTCTCCCAATCTTCTCTATTTCTCATACTTAGTAAGTTGCATAACATTTTAGAATGAATGCGAACCTTGTATGCTGAAAGAAGAGTAGACTCATAATAACGCATCTTTCTAACAGTCTTTGAAACCTTCATTTCTAGTTCCTTTTCAGTAGGAAGCCTGATCCGATAACTGCCACATTAAAAATAGGATTAATGTTGATTTTCAAAGCAAAAATAATCATAATATCGTTACATATAAACTGTGCATTATAATATATAACTATCAGGCAATACCCAGGGACAATATCTTTGAAAACTGCCAAGAGGGATAGAAGTCCAAGCTTAACAATGGTATGATCGTTATCTTTAGATAATTGCACCATCTCTTTCAGTAATTTAATGTTGGACTCTGGATCTGTAAGTAAGGCATTCCCCAATTCTGCAAGTTTACACTTCTTGCTTTCAAATGTCTCCTCAGCTGTAAGATCTTCCTTTACCTCAGCCTAAACAAAGTCAAGACAGTATACCAAAAATTATGCACAATATCTAGTTCAATAATTTTTAGCCTTGTAAAAGGTGTAGGCAGCTCAACATAATATATGATATTTACAATTAATATGAAAATACAGTTAGTAGGTGGACTTCTGTGGAATGTGGATCCTATTAAATAACATCATAAAACACACTTTACTTAGTGAGCCATACATGAAAATAAATTAACAACAGTGTACTGATATTATTTATCCGTTTTTAATGGATATCATTTCTCTAAATCATACAAGTGGACAGCATTATGGGCATATAATATAACAGTATAACAGCTGAAATATATGATACATATCAAAGATAAATATGCATAAAAAGTTAAGTTGTACACAAAAAAAATAAATACATAAAAGCTAGCATTAGATTAACTTAAAAGTTCAATTGGCTGACAACTTGTCAGAGGACACGAGGATGCAGGATGCAAGCTAGTATTATAGTAATGTGACACATTATTCATCAGAAACTTCAAAATGTGAATGTTGCATGGAATCAATTAAGAAAAAATTTACCTTTGTTGTCATTCCATTTGTATTTTTTTTTTTTAACAAAGCATTCCATTTGAAAATTGTTAAGGTATCAGATGTGAAGAAGAAAATGAGATTTGAGAAATCATAAAAAAACTAAAAAGCTTTTTAATTTGATTGGATAATACCAGCACTGCTGCATGTGGTGTCTCTTCCACTTCTACTTTAGCCACTTCTTTCCCTTGTTTTTTGGCCTCCTTCTTCATTTTCTTAAGTTTGGCTCTCTTTTCAGCCTTAGTTAGCTTCACCATACCTTCATCCGCAATGGCATCCTCTGCAGTTCCCTCTTCACTTAGATCATTTTCTGATACGGCTTTTGAAGCTGCAGAATTGTTGTGAGAACCCAAGCACTTGATAAAAGGTCTAAAAATAAAGAATAATCTTGAGATAGCAATGCATATCTTGAACACTAGATACCTGTCCGGTAATGGAGTTTTCCATCCAATGTCTTTATTGGAAGAGCATCTACACGATCAACCTGCAAACCAGTTTCTTCTTTTTCTTTCTTGAGAGAATTTTTTTGCATGCGTTTCTCATAAAGTTTCTCCAATGCATCGTCTTTGGCATCAGCAACCCGCGTAACATGCCTGAGGATGTGTGAGAATGTCATTTCGTAAGTAACCTTATCATATAAAACTCATCACAATACACATTGACATAAGCTGATAAATTTCATATTTCTATAGAATCATAGCAACCTAGTATAAGGTACAAGAAGGCCAACTATTCTGGGCCCACCAGAGTTATCTTGGGTGGAAATACGGAAGAAAAAGAGTTAGCTATAATGATAGAAGAGTAGAAGTGAGGTTACATACAAAGGAACGTGAGAGATATGTAGGGAAAATTTGGGTAGTAGCTTTTTATTAGGCAGAGAAATAGTTTCTCTCAGGAGCTCATGCTCTGGGATTACAGGGTTCTCTTCTCTAATAGTTTCATTTTCTATCTATAGTACAAATTTATACCTGTATGCACCTAAACAGTCAAAGCAGACAATAAACAAAAGGTTTCAGAGAGGCAAACTGCGCAAATTTATAATTTTCCCTATTTATAAATCGTGACAAAAGCTTCGAAACTTTCGGTAACAATCTACACAAAAATGTAGCATTGCAAGTAAGGGCGCCATAAAATGTTATGAAAACAAAGGACAGAGGGTTGGAAGAAAGAGTCGAACTTGGTGATTGAATGGGTGTCCAAGGTGGAGAGCAAGGAGGCATAGTTGCGATTCTCTTTGATGAATTGGAGGTCTTCGTCGGAAACCTCAACTTCGTCGTCTAGAACCTCCGGGGGAAGGTCCGGCGGAAGAACGACTTTCTGCTTCTTTCCCATCGATCAGTCAGGGAGTTCGTGAAGCGTGGTCAGATTCTTCAGGTGGTTTGTGCTTGAGGACTCGGGCCAACGGCGTACGCTGAGGTTGAGAAGAAGGAGAAGAAGCGGTTGAATGGTCGAGAAAGAAGAAAAAAGAGGGTGCGGCGGAAGTAACAGGAAGGGGACAGAGTGTCGTGTTGGGGCAAACTTATTTGTAAAAGGCCACTGATAAAAGAAATTGCATGCGGCTGGTGTGGTTGTGTAAATTAACCCTGCGATGCAGGTTTTTCTTCTTTTTTTTATATGTACGTATCCAAATAAAATTTGGAACATATTCGTAAATATTTGTTATTAATAATAATGGATATTTTAATATCCATTTATAACAAATTAGATATAAGTATATAATCTATTATTTGAAAAAGATGAAAAATAGAATATATTTTATATTTTATTAATTTAAATTTAATTAAAATTAAAATTAATTTATATTTGATTAAATTTAATTTAATTTATATTTTAATTTACATTTTATATACTTTTTGTAATTTTATTTAAATTTTAATTTAAAAATTTAATCTTTTTAAATATTCACTTTATCTATAAATATTTGTAACTTTTCAAATATTTACATATATTTTTTAAACTTATATCCATATTGACAAAAGGTAAACTTTTTTTATTGCAAATGAAGTAACAAATAGAAAAAAGATATTATTCCTGATTTGATCTGTTACTTTTTAATATGTCAACTAAAGTATAATAAAAATGATATTACGCTTAAAATATGCTCTAATTTGGTACTATATTACCTAATTTCTTGAGACTATATAATGTAATATTTGTTTCTTTATTTTGTGATATTATCTATATCATATATAGTCCTTTTAAGTTTGTTCTATCATTTTTTTTTATTTTGGGATAGCCTACTTTTTGCATGTACAGTTTTTCATTAATATTTATTTGCTTGGAAAGATAGAACAAATTTTTATTTGATTAGATTAATATTAACATTATTTATATGTTCTAATGATATTCATGGAATTTTATTTATATTTAAAATATTAGAATTTTTACTATATTTATCTCTATGTTATTCTATTTATTATAATCATATTATGTTTATAATTACTTTATGTATTTTATATCACAACTTTCTTATACATTTACAACTTTCTTATATATATAAAACGAGAATAGGAGAATTTTTTTAATTTCTCAACAATTATTTTACAGTTTCAATCTAAAGTTGTTATCAGATCGACATCATTTGTCGTTGTCCACCACGAAAAGTTGTGAATGAAGTTTGTCACTATTAACCTCTATTCCTTGCCATTCCAACATCCTCTGCCATTGTCCGTCGTTGACCACTGTAACAATTTCGTCCAAATAACCTCGCCTCTCCACGCGACAGCCAACTCCATCGATGTTGGAGCTTTGTGTTGCTCTCGCCCCGCCGTCTCCTTACCGAAACGCCATCGCGCCACCTCCATATTGGTCGCCAACCTCTCCTCACTCTATTTTGCCCTTTCGAACCGTGTTCTATTGTCTAAACGAAACCCTTTCGATAGTCACCTAGGGTTTGCGGTTTCTCTTTCAAATTCTTTATCCCTTGATTCGAATTGGCTTTCTGACAATGTCATCTCTTTTTTTGAAAGTCCCTCCATCACATCTAAAAAGTTAAATGAAAAAAATTACTTATCTTGGTCGGTTGCCGTTGAAATGTGGTTTCTTGGTCAAGGTCATTGTGATCACCTTGAGCATGATGACAGCCATGCATCAGTTGATAAAGCTGACCAATGGAAACAAGCATATTTTCAATTGTGCTCTCTGTTATGGCAATCAGTGGAACCCAAACTTCTTATATCTATGAGAGATTTCAAAACTTGTCCCCTTTTGGAAAAAAGCTCAAAGTATCTATGTCAACGATATTCAACGTATTTATGACACAACAAACAATCTTGCATCTCTTAAAATGGGAGATCATGATACAATGTTCTTCATGGTTAAGGCTCAATCTATTGTCGAAGAACTTAAGATGTTTTTGGAAGCAAACTCATTAGAGAATATCAAGAAGAAATTAGACAAATATTACATGGTGTTAATCCTTCGTGCTCTACATGATCATCTCAAAGATCAACTTCTGACTAGTCATGAGGTCTCCTCCATGGAAACATTGATCACTCGCCGTGTCCCAGTACCTCAAACTCAGGATGCACATGAACTAGTGAAATTATCTGTCATAGTTGCCACACGAGGAAGAGGAGGACGAGAAGGTCAGGGACATCCTTAATACACGTACTATAAAAGGATCTATAAATGGATGGGTCACACTCAAGAGAATAGCTACTATTTACATAGGTTCCCTTCCAAAATCGCCAATATTTCGAAGATTGAATCTTCCACTTCTAAGTTCACCGATGATGAATATCAAGAATATCTAAGGTTAAAGTCTAACAGCTTGGCACAACCATCTCAATCTCCACAACCTGCATTTCTCAATCCATGGAAGATCAAAATTCATGAGTAATTAATTGAGGTGTTTCTGATCACATTTATGATAATACCCCTTTGTTTTTCTCTATTTCCTTTTGAAAAAAACTTCATTTCATAACTCTTGCTAATGGATTAAAATCTCCTAAAAAAGACTCGATCATGTTTCCTTGTCTTCCTCATGCATTCTAAACTAACCTTGATTACAGATCTTTTGCTATAAAGAACTAGTTTGAAAAAATAGATTGGAAAAGGATACAAAGCCAACATATTATATTATTTTGGATCTCGTCTAAGGATGTTTTGTGTTGCTGCTCCTAATCTTAAAGTGTTACATAATCAACTTAATCATCTTTTTTTGTTTAAATTAAAAAAAAAAAGTATACTAAACTTAATAATTTATAGACCTAGTCATGTCAACTAAAAAAACATGTCTACCTACCATTCCTAAATGGTCTCAATCCATATATAATTCTAATACAACTGGATAAACCTTGGATACAATTCTAAGGGATTCATTTTAATGCTTATAATATTATTGGATAAGTTATAATATTTATCTCATTTTTATAATACAACAACCCTACATGCTTTATAAAATTATTCCCTTTGATATATTTGATTAATATTAATACAAGTAATGAAATTATTTTGACCAATTTCCTGTGGATGAAAAAATACTACTAAAAAATTGTATTAAGAAAAGTGTCCCCAGTAATTTATCCGTCCAACCCTCTTATAATTTATTTAAAGAAATCATATTTTTTTTTCCTTTCCTACATCTCTCTTTTTGAGGTGTCACAACAAAAGTTCTTAATTATGTAAAGATATTATAAGAAACCTTAAATGCGATTACATCCGATGGCTAAAAAGGAAAGATGCAGGAGAGGGTCCTGGTCCTTCTTTCTCCAATCAATCTCGTGCAAACAAAACATGTATTCAGGCGTAGTCAGGCAGGGAGGCACATCTGATGGCTAAATGTTATAAAATAAATAAATAAATATCAACGTCAAATTGTGATGAGGCATGATCAACAACATAACATTCAAGAAAAATGACCAATTTAAGAAACAATATCTTTGATTTAACTGTAGGATCTGATATGGCTAAATGATTTACAGGTTATTGCTCTCCGCAGAGACAAAAATGCTGATATAATGTCCCACCAAATTTCAAAGTTTAAACTACCATATTCGAATGAACAACTATACAATAAAACCAGCAGTATACCCCCAGCACACCCTCTTTGAAAATTGATGGGAATAATAGCTCCAGCTTGGTATACAAACATGTCCTAAGGACAATTTAGATAGCAAGCACAAAGAATCATTACGACCAACATCCTTGTCGATGGGGTGGGTGCAAGCATTTTTGGGAGGGTAACTTGTAGCTCTGTTCCACCAGAGATGCCTTAGACCACATAAATGTATTAACTGCCATTTCATGAGGACCAAAAATGCCTCTCAACTTTCTTCAGTTAATAAATACGAAATCTGGTGTTAATAAGAGTACCTAAAGTTTTTGAGACACAAGGTCTGACCTTACTCTGAATCTGAATCAATAGAAAGGTACAAGCGACGCCTTTGGCGAGGAAATGAGAAAGGACTATCTGACCTTTGCCTACCTGGCCTGTCAGTTCTGACATCATTCATCCCAAGGAGTAAAGAAGCTGCATAGAGAGGAATAACCAATCAAGAAAAGTAACGGGAAAATAAAAAATGTCAAAACTGCATTAATAGTCAGTATATCAGAAGTAAAAATGCAATTATCTGAGATAGTGAGCAGAAAAGGGGAACCGAACACAATGAGGAAAGTGAGGAGAAATGAGGAAGATGCAAATGCATGAAAGATATGAGGAACACTGACCTCCTCAACTTTGTTTAGAGGTTAACATGCTCAATACTATCTAGTAATTAAAGTAACCATTCATACTTTCCTCTGGGTAAGCAAATTATGAGCATTTGACTGATTTTAGGAGTAGAGTTCTAAAAAATCAATTTTCTGTCACAAGGATATGATGCAGCAGCAGATTAACACAGCCGTATAATGTATCTTGACAAATCCACAACTAAACATTTGAAGGTTTCTAACCATTTAACAGAAGGTATAGCAGTGCTCGATGCAAAGAAACTGAATACCCAGCTCCCAATCCTCCTTCATAGCCCCTCAAACAAACTTGATATGAAGCTTAGGAATGTACTAAAAATCACGCATGAAAGAATTAAACCCACCATCTCAAAAGACTTAATATATTCCACTTATGATTGAGACAAAAAGATAGCAGAGGCACGCAGGTGTCCAGAAAAGAAAAGCCAATAAAATTTTAAGAATGCATATATTGTCCACAATATGTAGATAAATGTAAATGCTTATTTTATTCGCCTAAAGATGTTTTGAGAATATTAAATATCTACTATAAACTAAAAAATATGAGCAAACAAAATATTATGCACTCAATTTTGGATGATTTTAGAATTTTATGTATACTATCAAAATGATATTATACCCAAAAAAAATGTATATAATCTATATTTAAGAACTGAATCTGAGCCAAATTTAATGTTCCTTTGGAGATTTGAATTTTTATTGTATTGTTGACAATCTATTTGCCTGTATATTTAGAATCTAGAAAATTTAGATGAATTAGGGAAAACGTGTACTACATGTATTCTTGTAAAAATTTGATTTTCACATTTTTTTCTGATTTTTCATAATTAGAAATTCTAAAACAAAA